ATTGAATAAAGGCTTTCCCACATTGCTGACATTCATAAGGCCTCTCTCCACTGTGAGATCGTTTATGTATAACGAGGGTTGAGGAGTGGCGATAGACTTTTCCACATTCATCACATTCATAAGGCTTCTCGCCACTGTGTATTTTTTTATGTACATTGAGGCCTGAGGAGTATTTGAAGGCGTTTCCACAGTCATCACATTTATAAGACTTCTCTCCACTGTGTATTTTTTTATGTACTTTGAGGCCTGAGGTGCATTTGAAGGCTTTTCCACAGTCATCACATTTATAAGGCTTCTCTCCACTGTGTATTTTTTTATGTACTTTGAGGCCTGAGGTACATTTGAAGGCTTTTCCACAGTCATCACATTCATAAGGCCTGTCCCCACTGTGTGTTTTCTTATGCTGAGTGAGCTGTGTCCGAAGATGAAAAGCTTTCCCACATTCCTCACATCCATATGGCTTTATTCCACTGTGAGTTCTTGTATGCTCAGTGAGCCTTGAGGAACAAATAAAGGCTTTCCCACAGTCTTTACATTTATAAGGTTTCTCTCCAGTGTGAGATCGTTTATGTTTAATAAGGCTACAGGATTGAGTAAATCTTTTCCCACATTCCATACATTCATAAGGTTTCTCTACAAGATGAGATCTTACATGTTGAGTAAGTTTGTAGGATGTAATAAAGGCTTTCCCACATTTCTTACATCCATAAGGCCTCTCTCTACTGTGAGATCGTTTATGAGCAGAGAGGTGTGAGGAGTGAAGATAGGCTTTTCCACAGTCATCACATTCATAAGGCTTCTCTCCACTGTGTATTCTTTTATGTACTTTGAGGACTGAGGAGTATTTGAAGGCTTTCCCACATTCCTTACACTCATAAGGCCTGTCTTCACTGTGTGTTCTCTTATGTTGATTGAGCAGTGTCTGAAGATGAAAGGCTTTCCCACATTCCTCACATCCATAGGCCTTTACTCCACTGTGAGATCTTGTATGTTCAGTGAGCTTTGAGAAACAACTAAAGGCTATTCCACATTCCTTACATTTATGAGGGTTCTCTCCATGGTGAATTTTTATATGAGTAGTCAGTGATGAAGCATGAGTGAAGACTTTCCCACATTCCTTACATTCATAAGGTGTCTCTCCACCTTGAGATTTTTTATGTGCCTTGTGGACTAACGAGTGACTAAAGGTTTTTCCACACTCATTGAACTTAAAAGACTTCTCTCCACTGTGTGTTAATTTATGTTGAGTGAGCTGTGTGCGAAGATAAAAGTCTTTTCCAGATTCCTCACACCCATGTGGCTTTACTCCACTGTGAGATCTTCTATGTTCAGTGATCTTTGAGGAACAACTAAAGGCTTTCCCACATTCCTTACATTCAAGAGGCTTCTCTACACTATGAATTCTTGTATGTTTAGTGAGGGCTGTGGCATGACAAAAGGCTTTCTCATGTTCCCTACATTCATAAGGCCTCTCTCCACTATGAGTACTTGTAAGGTGAGTTAATGACAAGTGTAGACTAATAGCTTTTTCACATTCTTTACATTCATAAGGCCTCTCTTCACTGGGAGTTGTTCTCATGTATTTAGTGAGTAGTGAGGAACTATCCTTGGTTTTTCCACAATCCTCACATTTACAAACTTTTTCCCCATTGACAGTATTTGAAAGATATTTTATATAAGAGGGTGAACTGCAGGTTACTCTATGTTCTTTATACTGGTATGGTTTATATTCAGGGTGAGATCTGATTCGATAATTAAAGATATAATTACCACCGCCATGAAACTCAAAAGCATTTACTCCAAGGTCAGTTCTGTTGAGGCTATGATTTGCCTCAGAGCAGGTACTTTGATCACCTTCTTCATATTTCTTCACTTCATCTTCTTTATTTGCACAGCAGCTCTCTACCATACAGTTTCTGTTGAAAACAGGGATAATGCTGTTAAAATTGCATTTTCTACCATTTCAAAAGCACCATACACACTGAGTGTGCATTTTTTTCCCTTGAGTCTTTTATGTTGCACAAGTTAAATCATCACATGTAGGGTGCTAACATTATTCCAAAATAAATACTGATAACGTGTATAAGTGAGATGTTTTCTACAGCAAAAACACAGGCACACCAATGTGTTGGGGCAGTCTTCAATGTCATAGGCAAGATACCTGGTATGTCCATCTTGATGGATGTGGTGATTTTCACTGCCATGAAACTCAAAGATTTCTCCTGACGTGAACCAGCAAGCATGAGTCTTCATCAATTTCAGCAGTGTAAACTCACTAGACACCGTTTGTTCATTGTTACCCTGTTGAGAGACTGAACTAATCATTAGGAATGGATTTTCAAAATACAAAAATAAAAAATGAAGGGAATTTGATATAAACAAGGCAACCAAGAGATAAAATTTGTGAAGAATTTGAGTTCTCAAAGTGTTTGGTAAAGGGTAAAGCATAGGAAATACACTGAGAACACTTCCATGATGATTGAGATGGATGGTGACTAAATTAAGATGTTACCATCAGTGCAAAATCCAAAGGTATTGCAAAACAATGCTTGCATGGGAAGGCTTTTTTCTGATAAATGCCAAAGACATGACCTAATTTAAATAAATAAATAAAAGAAAACAACAAAAAACTCAGCTCAATTACATGTGTATGTTTAGCTACTCTAAGTACAGAAAAGAGTTCTTTTACAAAGGAGTGAGTGGACTGAGAGACAAGAAACCACTCATATTGAAGAAGCTAGTCAATGACTCATAGATAAAGGTGAGATTTCTTCTTTCTGTCCTTCAACTCATCTCCTCTCTGGTGACCAGAAGTAAGACGTGTAAGAGTAGACATCACCACTGAAGGTTCTAGATGGACCCTGCGGCTAGAGGCATAATTGAAGGGTAGGAGACAACAGAAACTGACCACCACTAGGATCTGTTTCAAATCAGTCTTGGTGAATGCTGGGCGAGTTATTGCTAG